TGGGACTGCTGACGTGGCAGTAGCTGGACCCCTTCTGCTGACGTGGCAGGTGACTGGACTGCTGACGTGGCAGATGACTGGACTGCTGATGTGGCAGATGACTGGGTCTTCCTTGCTGATGTGGCGATGACGTGTCAGATGATGTGGCGACACGTCATCATCTTCTTCCTTAGGATTTTTTTTTTTTTTCTCAAAACTTCAGAAGGATATAACTCTCAGCTCCGGTGTCCGTTTTTCGCCCGTAAGATACCGTTGCGACCGTCTCGACGAGACGAATCTAACAGTGTTCTCGGAATCGAATTTCGAGCACAACTCAGAAACTCGAAATTTCTACAGAGGCTCGGAAAAATTCAAAATTAAGCTCGAAAGCTTCAGACCAAGCTCTGATACCACTTGTTGTGGTATCATCCCAAGATCATAAACATAATTGAGAGAAAAATAAGTTTCTATTACTCACAAGAATAAAAACAAGAGATTTACAAACTCTAAACAAAAAACTCTCAAACTCTCCCACAACTCTTCTTGGTTGTGTTTCAACACTCTCAAGGTTGATTGATCACACTCTTGGATGATTTGAATGAATGAAATAAGCACTCTATTTATAGGCACAAGAATTAGCACACCATTGTGTGTGAATGAGGAAGGTGGTGGATGGTAGGTGAAGGACTAGTCTTCTTCTTCATTGGTGTGCTTGAATATCTTCATTATTGTGTTCCATTGAATGTTTGGTGGATGGCACTTGCATGGAACTTTCAGTCAATTGTTAAATACAAATGTGTTGTTAGCGTGTTTTTTTATATATTTACTAAAAGATATAGTGATTGAAAATTAGTTGAGAATATTAGATGTGTTTTTACATATTTGGTTTAAATAGCATATAAAATTGTAGGTATTTTTTGAAACAGTACACATAATTCTAAGTGCTTATTAAAAAATCAGCGTACAAAATTGTAGTTGTTTTTAGACATATAGTATAGATAATTTGAAGTGTTTTCTACATGTTTTTCAAAAATAACATCTGTTTTAATATTTTTGTTTATTCATATTAATGAGGTTGAAAAATTTACATGATTCCTCTCCAATTTTCATAATCACGTAAAAATTAATGTACGGTCCTCAAATTTAATGATGACATATATTTTTATTTTATAAAATGTTATTTTAAATTAATATGTGATCCTCAATTTTAATGATGATGATATTTTATTTTAGATTAACATTTGATTTGTAATAATAGCTACTTGTCCGTGCATCCAGGGATACAAAGCAAAAATAAAAAGAAATGGTTTGATACGGGTCATGAACCGAATTCAGATTCGAGCCCAGGCCCGAATTTGTGTCGTGTCCATACCTCATAATCAGCACATCCCTCACAGTAAAACTAAAACCTCATTCTTCTGTTCTGGGGTTTTGTGTGCTGCCGATTTTTCAGACGGCCGAAAATTAGCTAATTAGAGTGAAAAGAAAAGAGGAGGCCAGAAGATGGTGAGAATAACTGCAGATTTGATTTGGAAAAGCCCTCACTTTTTCAATGCCATTCGCGAGCGAGAACTGGATCTTCGAGGTTTTTCTTCACTAAACCCTAGTTTTTCTACGTGGGTTTTTTTTAATATTGTTCTTTTTGTGTTTATAATTGTTGTTCCCTTGATTTCACTGTTAACAGGGAACAAAATTGCTGTTATAGAGAACGTCGGTGCTACTGAGGTTCAGTTTAACCCTTTTTTCTCCATTTTGTAGTTTTCACATAATATATATAACTGATATTTGTTCCTTCTGTTTTTCTGGTTAATGTGATACGCAGGACCAGTTTGATGCCATTGATTTATCCGACAATGAGATTGTTAAGCTTGAAAACTTTCCCTTCTTAAATCGCCTAGGAACTTTGTTGCTGAACAACAACAGAATTACTCGCATCAATCCCAATCTCGGAGGTATAAATGTTTGAATTTCCTATGTAGATCGCATATGCTACATGATTAGCTAACTAGTTGTTTACTTGGAATGAGTGCAGAGTTTTTGCCAAAACTGCACACTCTGGTACTCACTAACAATAGGCTAACTAACCTGGTTGAAATTGATCCTCTTGCATCTCTCCCGAAGCTGCAGTTCCTTAGTCTGCTCGACAACAACATAACTAAAAAACCGAATTACCGGTTATATGTCATCCACAGGTTGAAGTCTCTTCGTGTTCTAGATTTCAGGAAAGTCAAACAAAAGGTTAGTCTGCAATTTTTCTTCCTTTATGTCTTCCATTGTCGATTAAATGTTGCAAGATGGCATTGTTACTACATCCATGTGAATGTCTCACTGTCCTGTGATGCTATTTAACTAGTATTGTATTGTGTGTTTTGGGATCCATAATTCTGGTGTGCATTTGGTGCTGTTCTAACATGATGTGATTATCCTATGCATTTTTCCGTTGCTAACTTTTTCTGCCGCCTATACTTCCTAATAGTCACACTGTATTGCGTAATTTGATGTTTCGGTATTAGCATGTCTTCTTTTAACTAGGGTAGTTTATTTATCGCCAGAATTATTAATATATTTGGTTATTCCTCCAAGATGTCCTGTTGTACAATAGTGCAATTTTGAATTTTCCCTGTTCTCAGTTCCTGAACATGTATTCCAGTCTTTGGTAATTTTTCTTGTGTTATTTGGGGATAATACTGTATATGTGCAATAGTTTAGTCTAACAGGGCTTAAAAGCAGTTCCTCTTTGTGATAATAGGAGCGACTTGAAGCCAAGAATTTGTTTGCATCTGAAGAGGCTGAAGAAGAAATTAAAAGGGAATCTGCCAAGACTTTTGTACCTGGTGAGACCCCCAGCACCCAGGAACCTGCAAAGGAGGAACAGGCGCCTAAACCAGTTGCTCCTACCCCAGAGCAAATTTTAGCTATAAAGGTATATGCTTGTTCTCCTGTTCTGTTGGTTTCCGAACAATTTTAGGGTTACAGTTAAAATCCTTTTGCCTGCAGTACTTTTGGAAAACTTGTCAAGTTTGTCAATTCTATGGTGAGGCATGTTGTAATTATCAGTCTGTCAGAGTCTGCAAAGAGTTTTTAAAGACTTGAAGTTTTAAAATGAAAGGGAGCTGTAAAGAGGTTTGGACTCCATGTAGAAAAATTAGATAAAAAGTAAAGTAGGACGATGCCTCAATTGTTTGATATTTTTTAGGGAAAAAGGAATCATGCATCAAGCTTAGAATGAAATAGGAGAATGGTGGGCTAGGAGTTCCAATGATTTACATACATGGGATTTTGACAGAATGATGAAATTACTTGACATTCTTTTGTATTTTCATCTCCGTTCTTGAGTTGATTTATATTCTTGTTCATTCTTCTTTTCAACTGCTATACCCTTTGACTTTTATTTGAACCTGCATGATATTTAAATCTTTGGTATTCATGCAGGCAGCCATTGTGAATTCACAAACCCTTGAGGAGGTGGCGAGGCTTGAACAGGTTTTCTCACAATCTTACTCAACAGTGTATTAAATGTTTCACAACAGAACAATATGTTTCTGAACTTAGCATAGTCCATAGTTTCATTCTTGATTCTTGGTTTAGATTTGCTCCGCATCTGCTATTGTAATTTAAAAAATAGCTAATATATCTTATCTATTTCTTTTAATGCAGGCACTCAAGTCAGGCCAGCTTCCAGCTGATCTGAATATTAGTGATGGTGACAGTGCGCCTAAAAGTGGAAGTGATCAACAGGATACTATGGTTATGGATGAAAAAGAAGCAGATAACGAACCTAAGGATAATGTATCTGAACAAAAAGGAGATGAGCCTGCAGAAATGGATGAGGTATTTACTATGGCTTAAATACTAGTGTGCATTTGTGGTCTGTTTGATGTAGGTACAATTATACTTACAGCCTAGTCAACGGAGGTCCATTTACTAATTATGCATAGAGGTTGTGTATATTGGTGGCATTTGTGAAATCGAAACAAATAAGATTAATTTATTTTCTGAAAGATAAATCAAGTTTCATAGAAGCTGTGTGGGATATGTCAAAATTAATTTACTTTGATCAAAAGGTACTGGGCATGCAAAAGTAATGCACATCACAAACGCTGTGATGCTATTGGTTGTTCTGGTTAAACCAAAATCAGTATATTTCATCACGGTGGTCTCCACGACTTCTATACCTTCATTGGCATTCTTCACTTACGTGACTTTAAACTACAGTTTAACCATTATTTTGTTAATCTTTTAGTTTTAACTTTTTTGTGTGTGTGTGTGTGTGTGTGTGTGTGTGGTAAATATCAATTTTGAAGCTCAGTCAATTATCAGTATATATGAATTTTGACTTAATTTGGTTATCATATTTCAGGAATAGGTGGATCCATGCTAAAATTTGACGATTCACAACACTCCTTTGCCATGAATGCGGAAATTGTTGCTCTGTACTGGTGTTGTATCCATTTTATTTTATATTTTTCTTCTAACTAGAGTTTTCACAGAAATTGATGGAGAAGGATAATCAGTTAGCTCCCGCTAGCAAAGTAGATAGACACCTTTTTTGCTTTGCTGTGATATTATTCAATGAAATTTCTTTTTGCTGTATCGCATGTATTCACGCCTTTTCAATTCGATTTGTGTGTTCACTTCATATCTCCCAGTTTGGACGGCTGTAGATTACTATTATTACTATTGTTGGGTACATAAAGAATCAGATGTCCGGAACCAATACAATTGTTGGAACTCGTGAAATTTGATTAAATCAAAATTATTGAAACTCGTGAAATTTTATTAAATCTTGCTTACCAAGTAGTGGTGACAACGGTTTGTAACTGGCCCAGCAAACAGCCTGTGTTCAACGGTTTTGGAATTGGCCCGGCCCATTGCCTAGGGTTGTATGGCTGGTTCCTGGGTCTGGCCTGGCAGCTCTGCCCCCAAAAATTCAAAATTTTTAATTTTTTTAACCGTTGGACCTAGTTGGGCTCGGAACCTGCAGGCTAGGGCTCTTCAATGTTCAGATTTTTTAAATTGACCGTTGGATCTTGCGTCTGTTGGATGCTCTTGATCTGACCCGTTTGAATCGCCAGTTCGGCTCTTGAACTGATGGTTCACCGAAAAACAAAATAGATTTTTTTCCTATAAATACCTCCATTCACCTGTTTATTTTTACACCAAATTCTTCTTCCTTTTCTTATAATTTCATTAATACTCTAATTCTCGAGTCTCATCTCTCATTTTCTTACATTTTGGTACAATTGTTCGCAGTTTTAAACTCTTTTAAAGTTACAAAAATGTCGAGTTCTCATGGTGGACGATCACCAAAGTAGAAGGCACATAGGATGTCCCGGGCATCCCTGATTAATATGGTACTAGTACAATACCGTGTATTACACGGATGTTGAATTAGAAAGTTTCTGTAAAAAATATTAAATTTTTTAGTTTTTAAAAACTAAAATAATTTAATTTTTTATAAAACATTACTTTGGGGTTTAATTAAATTGTCAGATTATATTTTTTTAATCATAACCCGTGTTGAATTTTTTTCCTTATATCATATAAAAATATTGATATTATTTACTATTACATAAGTACAATATATATCTTAAATAAATATAAATAATATGGTGATATGTATATATGCATAAGTGTAGAATATATTTATTTAATATTAAGCAAAATAAATTAATTGTTTTACTCAATTATGAGTCTTATACATCAAGTGTCATATCAGTCGTGCTTCGCAATTTTTTAACTTTATATGTAATTTTAAAATTTATATAAATAATTATTTATTTTTATTACATTGACAACATACCAATTAGATTTGAAATAAATATCATTTTTAAAAGAATACATACCAATTTTTATTACTTTATAATATAATTTATAATTTTATTTGATATAATTTAATTTAGTTTAATAACTAAATTTAAATTTTATTTATAAGGATATATATTACTGTTTTGTATTATATATATATATATTATATATATATATATATATAGTAAAATACAAACGGACTTCATAATATCAATTCAAATGCAACACACTAATTAGGAATTTTTTTCTTGACAATATTAACCCTATTTAATAGATGTTATGGGAAACGATGGGGATGGGATATGAAGAGACACTATGTATTAAACGGAGGATTAAAAATGGAAAAATATGAACAAAATATCTAAAACGACATTTATTTTATTAATGTTCAATTAAGCCAAAGTGACAAATAATAAAAATAGGAGAGAGTATATATTATATATTTTAGTATGACACATGTTACTTGTGCGACTTATATGTGTTAGATTATAATAAATTTTCTACCTTATAACATGTAACTACATTAAACATAAATATATTCATTGATAAATAATTTTATTTTCTAATTAATTTTAATAAATAATTTTATTTTATTATTATAAAAATAAATATAATTTATTTATTTTATATATACAATATGGATGTCAAATAGAAGCTCATCAAAAGATGATTAATTTGATATGTTATATATGTAAACTGATAAGAAATACAAAAGTTATCAACTTTTAAAATATATTTGCAATTCATTGGTTATAATATGAAATGATATTAAAATACAATTAATACAAATATTAATTTATATCCAAGCCTAACTCCAAAGCATGATTATTTGTCAAATAAGATTCGAAGCATGAGAGTTTGCCACGTAGGTTCAACGCATTTTGAAATTATATAGATAGGGGATAACATCTACGAATGGCCATCCATTACTGAAGTAGCATCATTTGTCCCGGGCATCCAAGATTAATGATCACCAAAAATGGTATAGCATCTACGAATGGTCATCCATTACTGAAGTAGAAGGTACATAGAGATGTCCCGGGCATCCCTGATTAATACTACTAAGGAGATCGAATTCTTATATCAAACTTTAGAAGATATCCCCATGGCTTCTAGTTCTCAAATTATGCTACTTTGCCTACTGGAAGTCAATTGGCAGACGGGGCTGAGGATTGACAGTTGGTATCTCATATATTTACAAGACATTTCACGAAGGTACCCAATCAGAGTAAGGGTGAAAACTATTTTATAAGTGCTTGCAATTGTTGTCCGCCTGACAACTAGAAGAGTTACACTTTCATAATTGGTAATGGGTACGAAACCATGCATCGATAGGTACGGTTGAATCATCCAGTCGAAATGGACATTGACTCGATCCAAACTCAACTCCCGGCTGGATATGGTAGTCGAATTGTATTTGGGGTTGGGTCTGTCAATACATGTTCTTCTTGTTATTCTTTATTTCAATACTCTAACACAAACCATACACGTTACATATTCGTTTATTTCTATTTCTCTTCCTTTTGGATTTGGTGATTCTGATTTATATGAAAACTTGTATAATTATCGCATATTACACGGGTGCTTGTTAAAAAATATATACTTAATTTTAAAAAGTAAAATAAAAGACTTATACTTAATTTTATACAATTTAACTTATTAAAGTGTATTATAATTTAAGGAAAAAAGATTGGGGGAAAAAGAAATATTGAAGGAAAAAATGCCTTATAAACCACGTCTAGAATATGAATGATATTAAAATATAATTATACTCATAAAAGGGCCATAAATTTTAATTATATTTATGGATAATTCCAAACCTAATATTTTTTGGATTGAAAGTATATTAAAATATATCCAAACCAAATGAAGAAACATGAAATTTAGTCACATAGGAGCACGAAGCGTGTGAATCTGCCACTTAGGTTCAGCACATTAGGCAATTATATATAAGGGAGATTTTACTCAAATGACTTCTACGATATTCGAAACATAGTGGTTATAATTAGTTTTGACACAAACATTTGAAAATTTAACACAAAAAGTTTCTATTTGTTGTGGTATTTGGTTCGATCATTGGGTAGACAACTATTATATGAGAATTACTTGTTGTCATTTGCTTGATAATGGTTTTGCATTACAAAAATTGTTAATTGCTTACTCGGTATTTAAGAACTCTCACAGTGATCATAATATGTTCATTTAATTGGACACGTGTTGAATACTCACAAAACTTATAGAATTTTGTTTTTCCACTTCTTTTGATAACGCTAGTGCTAATACATGCTTCTTTGCCTGAGCTTATACAAGTTTATTGTCTTCTTTGTGGTGGTGAAATTTTTCATATTCGTTGTATATGTTCTTAAAATTTGTGTTAGTTCGAATCATAACGTTAGAATGAGTCGGTAGTATCCATTAGGAAGGTTGTTATATATTTGCAACGTCGGCCTGCCGAAATGCAGAAATGGGAAAAACAATGTAGAAAATTTTCACACTATCTGGAATTGGTGAAATCAGAACCGCGACGGTGAGGAGTAGAAGAACGCATCATGTCCTCTCATCAAGGTAAGCAAAGTAAGCAAACTACAAAAACTTTAATTATTAAGACAAAAATACTTGTGCAACTTATAATTGACATTTCTTTTATCTCCCAAGTTATGAACCGCCAGTTCAATGAACCGGTCCAGTGCTAATCCAAGGCCAATTCCGGCTCAGCGAAAAATTGATCCTGGGATTGTGTCTTGTTTAGAGCCTGACTTCCGTTTCTAACGAGTGTTCAGAAATTTTGACCCAGGCCTTGTGGAAAGTGGTAATTAAAAAGCAAATACATCTAAAATATTCAATATCTATAGCTTGCATTGCACCATGTAGTTTGCGAACTTACTACACAGCGAAGAACCCAATCTCATATTCAAGTCCTACCTGCTGCCAAATTGAAAACATGAAAACAGATGGGAATCGACTCAAGTACTCAATCTAACAAAAACAAGGGTCACAAGAAGCCACTTCCCATGCAGTGGTCAGGTGAGGTCAGCCTTGGTACAAATATGGCGGACGGTAAGTAGTGTGAGCAGCAGCGCCTGTGACCCGTCTCCCCCCATCCCCATAAGGATTGCTCTCCACACTATCCGCAAACTGATACAGATCCGACCCCTGCCCAACGCTCGGAATCCCCCTGGCAAACCCCTCCACCACAGGTGGTGCAGGTGGGGGTGCGTACAGGCTGCGAATCCCCATGCCGCCCGCCGAGGACTGCCCGCCGTTCCCATACCTCTCGTCCATGTGCCATGGGTACGTGTCGGCATACTGGACAGTGCTGCCGCGTGGTGGGCCCATGCTCTCGGGCAGCAATCCTGCGCCTGGACCCCCATACACCACCGGTGTGGATGCTGGATATATATTATTATTTTTACTATTACTAACGTGATGACGACTCGAATTGTTTGTCCGGCTATCGGCCCTGTGCTGTTGCTGACCGTGGCTGATGTTGTTATTATAGCGCGGTCGTTTGGGTTCGTGGTTTTTGGGCTTTTTCGGGAGTGTTGTCTCGCTTTCGCTGGGTTTCCTCTTGTGGGCCCATTTGTCTTCCTTCGTTGCAATGTCTTTTTCAAGGGTTGTGATTTTCTCGTTGATTTGCCAGTCAGGGAGAAGCTGTGCGGGGTCGATATTGTGCCGTTCTAAACACTTGCGGATGGATTTCAGGGTAGATAGCTGTTTCTTGTTTGCTTCTTTCTGCATGTAGGGAGAAAAGTTAGTAAGGAAATGTTAAATAATGCCCAGTCGAAGGAGAGCCAACTTTGTTACTTTTAGGTCAAGAGAGCAGAGTATTTGCATACCAGTGCAGCTGTGGATGTCTGTGACCCCTTTCCCCAAGACTCCGTGGATTGCTGTAGATATGAAACTAAAACATTTTGAGGGTTGAACCTCTCTTGGAGCCCAAAGGTGTAAATGAGATCAACGGCCTCTACTTCCATTTTGTGCTTCAGCATACGCTCCACTATATCTGCATATGTTACAAAGTTATAACTTGTATGTGAGGAGGCTACAAAACTAGTTACCATGTAAAGTTGAATTTAGATCAAAAGGGGGTAATGACAATGCACATGTATACATTGAACAGGCTGCAAGTACAACTGTCAGTTATATGATAATCGAGGACAATAAGAGTGAGGAGAGGGGATTGTATTTCTTGTGCTCTCCCACCCTGCTCTAATATTTATTCTAGTAATGAAAGAGAAAGGCTCAGGAATGTTTAAATTGTGGACAAGGCTGGGCTCATAGTTGGTAACTGATGTAGATTTGGCTGCATAATCAGTAAGCTTATGCCCTCAACGCAACATAGATGATTAAAAATGCTCCCACGATAGATTGAAATTACCTAGTGTACGAGTAGCTATTCGAAAAACCAATAAAAGAGTGCACAAATCTATCACCTTAAGCAAAAACTAGAGACAAAGTTACATCAGAAGAAATTCTAATTATAGAAGTAAAATACAATTCAGACTTCGATGTACACATATAATGTTACCATTTGAAAAAATGAAAAAAGAAAATATAGTTATAAAGGTAAAGTACAATTCAGGACTTCACTGAAGATATGGTGCCAAAATTATTACAGTGTGCCCAAGGTTGTCTGCTATAAAAATATTTAACTTATCATTTGCATAAATAAATCTAATAAAAGAAAATGAAAATAAGTAAAGAGTTGATGAACTGCCTACATAAAACTGCCATCAAGTCTCCAAAATGACGGGCATTTTTTTTTTAAGATATAAAAGGAGCAAATACAGCAAATAAAAGACACAGATGAGAGCAAGCAAAAAGGGGGAAAAAAAGGTATGCACCACTCCATATAGCCATGCTTCCACTTACAGTTGTTAAATTGTCACTCACATCAACCTGCTCATCCATCCCAAATCTGACAATAACACAAACTTATTGGAGAATGCTGAGACTTACAGCATAGAAAAACCATAAGCAAGTGAGACTGACGCATTGTGAACAAGCACCAGAATGAAAAGTTTTCTTTTAAATGTTAAGAAAATCTTATAGGCTTGATGTTATTTTGTGTATCTTCATAACACGAGTACAGCATAAACTTTAGTATTATCCCAAAATAGGAACGACTGGATCTTGGATAGGTCCTGATCTACTAAATGGACTAGAGTGTATGATTATCCTTAACTGGAACACGTCTGGTTGGCTTATGAAGATCAACACCTACCAAGTAGCATAGGCTACAGCCTTCTCAGGCAGCCATTTATTACTCAACAATTTTTTAAAGCATAACTAATTCAACTCGTTTGACAAACAACATGAGTAACATCCAATTAAATAAATGTGTTACGCAAGAGGAAGTTTTCGTGAATTATGGGAAGTAAATGGATGTCATCTAGGGAACAGCAAACAGCTTCTACATTTGGGTCCATGTCAGATCATCTTCCACTAAACAGAAGTCTCGCAAAAGCGATGATACTTACAACAGATATTAATTGATCCTAGCATAACTATATATGCACATCATTCAAAGGTTTCAGATTCCTCATATGCAACATCTTTCAATAGTTTCCCCCTTATTTTTCCTGTATGTTTCAAATCCATTTCTGCAGTTCATTAGAATGAACGATAGGTGAAACCTCGCCTATTGGATGGTTATGCCATTTCTGCAGGCAGAACCAACCAACTTTGCAACAAACATACGATGCACTGGTTATGCCATTTCGCAGGCAGAACCAACCAACTTTGCAACAAACATACGATGCACTATCCCAAAGACGATCAAATGGAGAACACTGACAATGACTTATAATGCTTAGTCAGTACAAGATTACACGCCAAACACAGAGCCCATAACCGATGCCAAATACTCATGTTTTAAACACACATATAGAGAAAGAGAGAAAGCAACACCTGAAATTTTCTTCATCAGCACCTGAGACATCTGCAGTACACCTGCGATCTCCTTGGCATTGGCAGCAGCCACCAAATCCTTAATATCATCCCTCTTAAACGAGTTGGGGATCCCGAAACATGCAACGAACAGCAAAAGCCCCCTTGCATCAATCTGGTTAGCCTGGGCCAAACCCCCTTCAGCCGCCATCCTCTTCCGCCACGCCAAGGCGGCTTCCTCCGCCTCCAACCGCACTGCCTTCTCGACATTCGAAGGCCCATTTTCTTTGCCCATCATCAGCAGAAAGCACTCCAGTACAAAAATCGACGCCTCACGAGCCGGTATCATGGTGGAGTTCCTAGTGAAAGCCCTACTCCCCTGCAGGTAGAACTTACCCAAACATTCTAACACCAGTTTTGGAGGCTTTGGAGCCAGCTTCAACGCCTTTGGCACTTCTTCCCGTAGCTGGGTAAGATTAGGTAGGTGAGTAACCAAGTATTTGCGGACTCCACGGCTGCACATGGTTTTACAGAGGCCCTCGAGTTCGGAATTAAGGGGATTTGGCTCTTCTTGTTTTTGCAATACTGTTGCATCAGACGCATCAGGTCTTGGAGATGACTCGGCTACGTCGATCGTTGGCGCGGGATCATATACGTCAGGGTTCGGTGCAGGTTCAGATGGGCAGGGGTCTGGAGGGCGCTGCGGAGTTTCCTGGGGCAATTTGGACGAAATTGCGATTTTGATGGAATCCAGGTGGTTGTGGAGGTCCTCGTAGCACTGCTGGAAGGAGGAGATAGCGGCGGACAGGTCCTTCAAGTCGGAGATCGAATTGATGAACAGCGGAGCCGGTTTCGGCACCGGCGGCGTTAGGGATTCGGACTCATCGGGATGAGAGGTGGCTGATGGGTCATCGTGGGTAAGTGTGAGGTGTTGCGATTCTTTTAGGAATGGAGCAGCGGCAGAGGGATTGGCATCCGACGTGAGGAGCGGCGGTGTAATTGCACCGGCGGTCGCCATAGGTAGAGACGGATAAGAGACGGTGAATTGTTTGGAGGAATAATAAAACAGCCCCAAATTGGTTCCTGGGATGAAAAGAAGCAACCTGATTATTTATTGAGATTAATATCCGCAGAACGTTGTAAAATCTTTTTCTTTAAAAAAACACAAGTGGACACAAATAAAAGCAAAAAAAAATCTGGACCAAAATCAAAAAACAATATTCTGAGAATACGTTTTCTTTACAAATTGTCATTGAAAAACGTATTCTCAGAATACGTGTTTCAATGAAAAACGTATTATGCAAATACGTTTTTCAATGACAATTACACAAAAAACGTATTCTCAGAATACGTGTTTTTTATTTATTTCCACAACTTTTTTTTTTTGTTTTGTTCTTATCCACTTCATTTTTTCTTATTTTTTTTAAGTAAAAAAACCCTAAAATGACAGCTCAATTGCTGAGATGTATATACCATCCGATTTTTTTTTCCACCTCACTACGAAACGACGTCGTTTCGTCTGGCGTGGTAATTCGATTTTTTTTTTCCACCTCACCACGAAACGACGTCGTTTCCTGTTCAATTACATTTTAAAATCAAAATCAGATTCTTTTCAGAACCCTAAGTCCTTTGGTGTTCCTCGTGTTCCTCGATTCTCTCTGCGCTCTCAGTGAAAAATCGCAATTCTTTCTTCAAGCACAATTTCCGGCAACCTGATTATCTTATTCTCGTTGTGCTCAGCCGACGACTTGATGCTGCAAAAATGGCGAACAGGTAGGATCGTAAACTATTTTTTTTCTTCCGTTGATCGATAAATTAGGTTAGTTGTTTTGAAAAATGAGGGTTTTTTTGGGTTTAGGGTTAGAGTTTTCTTAATTATCCCCATAATTAGGAATATATATTGGTTTAATTATGTTTATATGTACTTAAATCTGCTTTTGCATTAATCTTCTCAATATATGCAGTAATTTATAAGTATTCACTGTTTAGGGTTTCGGGATTTGTTAAGTAGCACATAATTAAAATTATATAATGGTGTAATTATGTTTACATATACTTATACCTGATTTGTATTAATCTAATTTAGTAACTATATTGTTATATATATGCAGTTGTGACTTGATGCTTTTTATAAACCACTGTCGGCAGTTGGTAAAGGTTGGCAATGATTTTTAGTATTATGGAGAAGAGGTCACTTCAAGATATGGATTTGACAAAGATAGATTTGGTTATTTTGATTTATTAGAAGAAGTCCAAAAATTAGGGTACACTAAAGGAGAGAAACTGTATTTTAGGGCTTACAACAGTAGAAAGTATGTTCACATGCACAATGATGAGGGTGTCATGGAAATGCTTTCTATGATGGAACCTGGCAAGCATTATGTTCAAATATATGTTGATTCTGGTTCCACAAATAAAAGTAAAGGTGATGATAAGCAAAAAGGCATAGCAAATGTGCAACAAGCAGCTGATGATAATGTTTGTGAGGATAACACAAATGAGGAGTATATTGTAGAAGAAAGTTCTGAATCAGATGGTCTCAGTTTAGATGAAATAGAAAGTTGTGAATTAGATGCACTTGGTCAACATAGTGGAGAAGAATTGGACCAGTTTATTGATAATTTTCATGAGGACAACACAGATGAGGAGTATGTTCCAGAAGAAGAAAGTTCAGAATCAGATAGACTGGGTGGAGATGAATTAGGAACTGATGATGAAGAATACTTTGAAGCAAGGAGAAAAAGAGCTGAATCCAAAAAAGTTGCAGATGAAGAAACTGAAATTTTCACATTATTTTCTGAAAAGGGGTGTGGTTCCACAAATGAAAGTGACTTCCAGTCTCTGAGGGAAGATCATTCTGATTATGCAGACTCAGCAGAAGAGGTTTGTTCTGATTCTTCAAGCTCATGAGGGTTTAGTGGAGATGATGATGCCAGTCGTAGAAAGAAGAAGACAAAAATGATAATGTATGATGCCAAGGTTGACCATAAGCAATTCAAGTTTGAACTTGGTATGCGGTTTGAGTCAGTCACTCAAATTAGGCATGCTATTCAAGAGTATTCCATATATAATGGTTACAATATTCAGATATGGAGACAAACTCAAAATCAGATTGAGGCAAAGGGTATAGAGTCATGTCCCTGGAAGTTGTATGCTAGCACTATAAAGGCAGAAGGGAGAGTATGCATCAAAACATTGATTTCAGATCACAAGTGCTCTAGGGACATGAGAACCAGGCAAGCATCTGCAAAGTGGATTGCAAAGGAATACCTTCAGGCATTCAGGAGAAAACCAAAAATGAAGATTGGAGACCTTGAAGAGATGATGCTTGAGAAGTATGTTGTGCCACCATCCAAGTGGAAGCTGTACAGAGGCAAGTACAAAGCACTAAAAATGTTGAGAGGCACAGAAGAGGAGCATTACTCATGTCTGAGGAGTTATCTTGCTGAGCTACTGAGAGTTGACAGAGAGGGTCGGTTTGAATTTCTACTTGATGAAGGTACTGTGTTCAAGGGCTTTTTGTGGGATTCAGTGCATTAAAAAGGGGGTTTTTAAGTGGGTGCAGACAAATAGTTGGTTTAGATGGAGCTTTCTTGAAGACTGTGATTGGAGGGTGTTTGTTGACTGCTGTGGGGAAGGATGCAAACAACCAGATTTATCCCATTGCATGGGCAGTGGTGGATTCTGAAAATGAAGCAAATTGGAAGTGGTTCTTGAATATTTTGTTTGAAGAGTTTGAAATCAAGGATGGACTGGGTTGGACTTTTATTAGTGACCAGCAAAAGGTAACTAAATGTTATATAACTTTTTCATTCCTGAAATATGAAATACTTTGTGTATAATGTTATATAACTTTTACCTTGTTCAAATGGATTGTAGGGGCTGATTAATGCAGTAAAGGAGTTGGCACCATTGGCAGAGCATAGGAATTGTGCTAGACACATTTATATGAACTGGAAGAAAGAACACAAGGGTCAAACATTGAAAAACATCTTCTGGAGGACTGTCCATTGCACATTCCTTGCTGCATATAAGGAATCACTGGAGGAGATGAAAGCTGAGTGTCCAGAAGCACACAAGAAGTTCATTGAGCAAAGACAATTTCAGATTTTGTACGGCCTTAATTTCAGTACATCCTAAATGTGACATGGTGCTAAATAATGTATGTAGACTTGTTAAAACGGGTCTGGGCCCGCGGGCCAGCCCGCCCCGCCCCGCCAAACAGGTGGGTTGGGTTGGTATTTTATAGGCCCGCCAAACGGCGGGCCTAAACGGGCTGGCCCGCGCGGGCCGCGGGCTTTGGCGGGGCGGGTTGGGCGGGCCGCGGGCCAGCCCGCCATAAAAAAAAAAAAAAAAATTGTGATTTAACTTTTAAGGTCCAGTAAGAGGCCCGAACAGATTCAATGTACAGAACAGAATTTGGGATTTGGCCCATTTCCGCATTTCGTGACTTTCGTCGCTCGCTAAGGCTAATAAACCCTAGTCTCTCACTCTCACTCTCAAGTCTCATCTCTCTCGATTCCGGCGTGCGGCTGATCGGCGACCTTCGAGCGGGAGCGCCAGAGACGGCGACGGCGAGACCTTCGAAGCTTCGACTCGAGCGGTGGGACCTCGGCTCGTGTGGCGACTGGCGAGCGGCGAACCTTCAAGGTGAAGCAGCAGTGTTGAGCGGCGAGTGGCTAGCGGCAAGGGGCAGCAGCAGTCTCCGAGCGGCGCCGGCAACGACAAGGCAACTCCATTTCGGTAAAGGGTAAAGATGGCTGAACCTAAACCTCTTTGATTCTATCTGTTCTACTTCTATGGGGTGTATTTGTGTGTATTTGTCAGTGAATTGAATTGGCCAAATAGAGGCCCGCCAAGATGGCGGGCTGGCCCGCCCCGCCCCGCTAAATGGCGGGTTTTGGCGGGCTGCGGGCCGGCCCGCCCCGCCGGCCCGTTTTGACTACCCTAAATGTATGTGAGACCTTCAATAGCACCATTGTTAGGGCTAGAAAAAAGCCTATTGTTGAAATGCTTGAAATGATAAGAATCTATGTGATGGAAAGACAAGTTGATAAACTGAACATGGGAAGTAGTCTCACTGATACAATTTGCCCTAAGATCAGGAAAAAACTAGAGGAAACTAAGTACAAAAGTAGGTTGTGTGTCACCAAACCTGCTCTAGGAAACAAATACCAGGTCACTTGTTTTGAAGACCAATTTGTAGTTGAATTGGAAGATATAAGTGGTATACCTTGTGTCCATGCATGCTCAGCTATTCACTGGTTGAAAAAGGATGCCACAGATTTTGTATCCCCTGTATATAGTTGTGAAAGGCTCATTGCATCATACTCATTCCCCATGGAGCCCCTTAATGGGAAGAGGATGTGGCCAGAGGCTTCAGGGAATCCTATCAAGCCCCCACCATTCAGGAGAACGCCAGGTAGTCCCAAGATCAATAGAAAAAAAGCACCTGAAGAAGAGGCTAAGACAAACTCAAGGCTGAAGAGGTTTGGCTTGCAAATGACATGCCAAAGATGTTTCCAAGTTGGCCACAACAAGAAGACTTGCACCAATGACCCAACTCCAAAACCTGCTAAGGTATATATTGTTTTTAGGCATTATATGTTTTTATAGTATCTGAATTTGTGACCAAACCTGTAAATTTCAGAGACCTAGAGGTAGACCAAGGACCATGAGAGAAACCACAGGGGCAGGTGGCAGTGAATCCATTGCTAAGGTAACAGTTAAAGTTTTTTTTTTTTTTTTGACAATATGTTTTCAAATTTTTTTAAACTTTATGAACTTGTTAATTTCAGAGGCCTAGAGGTAGACCGAAGAAAATGAAAGAATGCACAGAGGAAAGGGAACAGTCTGGTGTAACTTCCCATGTCCTCGTAGCTAGGAAAAAGAAAGCATTGGTACTTTGATGCATTCATTTCTGATTAATTGTCTTTCAAATTTTCTATTGTCTGAAAATTTTTGATAAATATGTTTGAAATTTCAATGACAGATGCTTAGACAAAAAAGAGGTCAACAGAAATCTCAAAACAAGGAACTGGAAGCTGTGGAAGCTATAGGAACTCAAGAAAGTGTTGCCAAAAAGTGACTGACAGAAACATT